AGGGGGGGTTTTGGGGGGTCCAGGGGGGGTTTTGGGGTCCCCCCCGTGCCGAGGATGAGGCGATACCGCCCCAGACTGAGCCCCGTGACTGAGTGGTTCTCCCTGAGGCTCTGGGGGGGGCCAGGGGGGGTTTTGGGGGGTTTTGGGGGGTCCCTGAGGGGGTTTGGGGGTCTCTGGGTGGGTGAGAAAGGGGAGGGGGGGACCTTTTTTTGGGGAAGGGCATTTGGGAGTTTTTTGGGAATCCCTAGAAGGGATTTTGGGGGGGGTGAGAGAGGGGTCCTGATTTAGGGAAGGAATTTAAGGGGGGTCCTAAGTTGGTTGAGATTTTGGGGGTCTCTGGGTAGGTGAGGAGGGGGGTTCTTTGGTGGGGGAGGGGGTTTGGGGGTCCCAGGGTGGGATGTTGGGGGTCTGGGGGGGGGGGGGGGGGGGGAAAGGGCCTTAAGGGGGGGTCCCTTTAGGGGATTTTGGGTTCCCACTTAACAACCCCCCCCCCCGCCAATTTTTCCTGCAGCTCCACCTGAATTTGTTGCTCCATCAACCTGAATAAAAAAAATGTCTATTTTTATAAAAAACGTGGATTTTGTGCTGATTTTTGGGGGGGAATTGGGAAGAACCATGGGCTAGTTCCTCATCCAGGGAGATCCTGGAATTGGGCATCTCCAAGGGTGGTCATTCCAACCCCTTTCCATGGAAAAATTCCTGCCCATGTCCCACCCGACCCTCTCCTGCCACCCTCAGGGGTTTTCCAGCCCCTCCAGGTCCCAAAAGTGACCCCGGAATTGCAGGTGTGGCCTCACCTGGGACAGGGACAGGGGGACGATCCAATCCCGATGTCAGGGAACAACAGCTGGGAGCAGCTGGACACACCATTCCCAATCCAATCCCTGTGCTATTGCCCACCTGGATATACCTGGGAACAGCTGGAAACACCATTCCCGATCCAATCCAGGTGTTTTTCCCCACCTGGACACACCTGGGATCACATCCAGCACCCCCAGGGCCTTTCCCGGTTTTCCGGCTGCTCTTCCCCTCCACCTGGAACATCCCAGAGGGTTGTTGTGCCCCTGGCACTTGGCCCTGTTGGATCCCACGGATCCCAAGGATCAGGCCTGTCCCGATCCCGCCACAGAACCACCTCCCACCGGTAATCCCAGGAAAAATATTCCCCTCGAGTTGGGAAAAGGGCAGGGAGGGATCCCTCGGGGATTTCGGGAAGACAAGATCATGAGAACTGGATTTATCCCCAGATGGGACCAGAGTGCGATAACGGGAAGTGAAATGAATCCCAAAACACCTTTTCCAGCCTCTCCCTCCTTCCCAAGGTCTCGTTTCGTTCCTGGGTCTCTCCCTCCTTCCCACGAGTGGTTTTCAGGGAGATGGGAAGGGGGGGAGCCCTCAAAACCAGGGATTGCATCCATCCCTTTTCCACGGGGTCACTCCTTTGGGAATGGCTCCGATGTGTCCCTGTGGGATCATTCCTTCGGGAATTCTTCCAACGCGTCCCAGGGGGTCATCCCTTCGGGAACGGCTCCAAAGTGGGGTCGTTCCTTCTGGAATTGCTCCGGATCCCTTTCCCGGCTCTCCCGGATCCCTTTCCCGGCTCTCCCGCGCTCTGCGATCGCTCCCGGAGGCCCATGAGCGGGATGGGCGTGGTCATGCAAATGAGATGCCACACCCGCCCTCGAAGGGCACGATGGGAGCGCCTTTTTGGGGTTATCTCGGGATTTTTGGGAATAAGAACTTGCGTAACGAGAGAAGGAGGTGCGGGATCAGCGGGGCAAAAATCCAAAAGGGGGTGAAGAAAGGCGTGAGGGCTGTGCGGGGGTCACCGTGAGGTTCATAGGGGGCGAAGGTGGGCCGTGCGTGTCCGTGTGGGGTGGTACGGTATCGCTTCTCGGCCTTTTGGCTAAGATCAAGTGTAGTATCTGTTCTTATCAGTTTAATATCTGATACGTCCTCGATGAGAGGACTTTATATTAAACGGATTTTTGGGCGCGGGAGTTGGACCCGGAGCTTGCTCCCTCCGCTCCGAGCATCGTCCCGGTATTGCAGTGCCTCCGGGAACGGTGCACCCCCTCCCAGGGGACCTTATACCGGTCAAAAAACAGATTCAAACATCCTTATTTAATTCCTATTCGTACCAAAAACTTAAAGACCCCCATCAACCCTGAAATTTCTTGATTCATTAGACCCCTGTCAACCCCTCAACGCCTTCCTTGCCCCCTCCCACTTTTAACGTCTTCTGTATTTTTGATCTACTTGTAATTAAGTCGATGCAGTCGATACATTTCAGATGTTTTGAGAGGTTTTTAGTCCCAGGCAACCTGCGCTGTCACATTCCGGCCTCCGGAAAGGCCCGAAGGACGGAGGGGGCTGTTAAAAGACAACCCTGGAAGCTGCTGGGACCTTCGAACATTGGGGATGCACGATCTGCCCGGTCCAAGCTTTTCCCTTCCTGCTGGAAGGGGACAAAGGGGAATAAATCCACTCCAAAGGGGATAAACCCACTCCAGCCATGTGGGACAGAACCGGGAGGTTTCATTTTCATTTCTGGGTGGGGGGACAATCCAGGAACGAGAGAAATAAACGTTCCAGGAAAACAAAACGACCCCAGGAATCAAACTGGATTGACGGCAGCGATCCTGAAATGCTGAGTCTTTGTCACTTCTGTCCCCAATCCCCCGCCTGACGAGGACTCCCTTGATCGCCCCATTAACGAGCCAAACCAACTGGGATAAACCAGGAGAGGGGGGGTGGAACCAGGACGAGCGACAATCCAACAATCCAACAATCCAACAACAATCCAACAATCCCCCCTCCCCCTGGAAGACACAGGGATGTCACCCGTGGTGTCCTCAGGGAGAGGGACAACGAAGGTGGATTGACCAGATGGGTTTTTTTTTGGGGGGGGGGAGGTTTTATGGACGTTTTGCTGCTGCTCCAGAGACTCGGGGGGGTGTGTAAATAAATCCGCGTGTAAATCCATCCAGATAAAAGGACAGGAATGGGATGGGGTTGCTGGGAACTGCTGTGGAATTGTCCCCTGTGATAAGTAAAGGCACCGGTTTTGTTCCAAGCAAATTAAAATAAAAAGGGGGTACTGACAAAAGAACTATTTCTGTGTCTTTACTAACTTCTAGGTGTCTGTAAGGTGAAGGGTCCTGTCTGGACCGAACACCAGGGAATCTTTTGGGGCCGGGAACAGGGAACAAATTATAAATAAAAATGTATTCCTCTGTGCCATGTGGATACAAAGAGAGGCCCTCCATGCCTTGCAGTGTGGGGATGATGCAAGACCCCCCCTGTACGAGCCCAGGGGAGATAAATTACAACCAGCCAGAAGGTAACACCCACCTCCAAAGCAGGGAAATTACCTTTCAAGGCAACAAACGGGACAATGAATGAATATTCAACAACTGATATCGAGAGGGTACAAAAAGCGGGGTTTTCAAACAATGTGTGTGGCTCTTTGTACGACCCAGAGGTGCACCCAGTGCTGGAAACGGGTAACCAGCACTGCAATAAAAATCTCTTGCTATATTTCTTTGCCCTGCAGGTATCTTTGCCGCCTTCAAAATTCAAGGAAAGGAGTGACTTACAACACCCCTCAGCTCATTTCCCCTCAGCAGTTGGCGCAGCGTCGAGTTTCGGGTTCCACGTGGGGGGGAAATCAGCGGTTTTAATCGAGGCCTTCCCTGATTACCAGCTCGTAACCGAGGAAGGGGCAGCGTTCCCAGGATTCCACACGATTTTTTACGTAAATTGTGTATAAATAAGAGGAGGAAAAGCGGCCTTCCTTCTTCTTCTCTACCTCAGGCTGAGGCTGCAGCACCCACTGACCTGCCACGTGGAACCTTGGGGAGAGGTGACCGTGTCTGCCAATCCTGCTTTTCTAAGGGACGTGGTGAGATTTGTTTTACCGGTTATTTTACTGGTTCTCGAGTTTGATTGCCCATATCTGGTGTCCCTTTTTGTTTCCTTTTTATCCCTTTTTTTCCCCTTTCCCCTATCCCTTCGGGGAGGGGGTGTTTTGGATTCCCTTTTGCTGTGTACGTAGCATTATTTTAACTGTATTAAACTGTAATAAACATAAAAAATAAATATTAACTGTAATACACATAAAATACATTTTTTTTTTTTATATAACTAGCTTGGTTTTCGGGTTCTTCAATTTGCATAGTTTTTTTTTTTTTCCTTTCCCCCTGGGGGAAGTAGAAAGGGGGGAAGAGAGGGGCTGCTACTGGGGGGGGGGGAAGTTGGGCATTTGGCAGGGAGTCAAGACCAAACCATCACAATGTTTTGGTAGGGCTCACCCTGACTCGTTTCTCTCCCTGTCTTTTGTTTTGTTTTTTTTGGTTTTTTTTGTTTTTTTTGGTTTAATTTACACGGCGCTCCGTCGTTAACAAACTGTTTATTTCCCGTGTGAGGGTCTAGTAAAAAATTGGGGGGGG